GTCCGGATATTATTGGCGCGTTTGTACTCCGGCTCCCGCCAGAAATATTTTTTGGTATTTAATATTTATTTTTTTCAGAAATAATATTCGGACCGAAAACGGTCCGGATATTATTGGCGCGATTGTACTGTTGGCTCCCGCCAGAAATATTTTTTGGTATTTAATATTTATTTTTTTCAGAAATAATATTCGGACCGAAAACGGTCTGAATATTATTGGCGCGTCTACACTGTGACTCCCACCAGAAATATACGGACCGATACCGGTCCGAATATGTTCATTAGTATATTTTCCCCCACCGGAATATATTCAGACCGATATTGGTTCAAATATTTATTTTTTCGTACCGACACGTGTCGGTCCGTATATGATCGGTCCGCATACCTCATTTTTCTAGTAGTGTGCTAAGCGTCGGAGAATAAGTCGATCTAAAGAGGTACATATAAGCAGAACCCATTGTTAAGCCCCTTAAACTTCTCCCGTATTCTCTTGTAGTACCCTTTTGAGAAGATATCTCCTAAATTGCCCGATCGTAAATTAGCCCCTTATATATAACGGCTACCGTTTATCTTCGTTAATATAGCGGATGAGTTATGAAAGTGCCGTTAGTTTCTTGATGTGACTCTGAAAAAAAGATTAATGTCAATTAAGTCCATGAACTAGTTAAATTTCAATAGGAATTAGTCCTAAACTTTACTAAAAATAAATGAAAACATTAGAGATTCAAGGTATTTTCCACTCTAAGGACCCTTGCATTCCTTCTCTTATAGTTTGGTTTTCCAATCTTCCCTTTTTTTTTCCCCCTTTATCAATTAAGAAAATTTTAATTTTATTATTTTGGAGTAAAGGGGTACTTTTGCCCTCAAATAAGATTATAACATTCTCCTCACTAATCATATTCCTTCTTATTCTAAACATTGCGACCTCAAACACCTAAGATACTAAGCAATTGCTTTTACACAAGCTCTTGGATTGCTGCAACACTCAAAAAAGGAACAACAGAACCTAATCGCCTTATCCTTCAACCAAAGAAAGGATCACGTTTGAATTACCTCAACCAAATTACTCACTGAGATTTCAACTTTTTTGAATATTTATAGGCTATTGTGCACATTCTAGATGGACCATGCAATAACTACAAACATGAATGACCAAGCTTTCTTTATCTTTGCTTCAACTGTCCCTAATTAATACAAGTGCTCTAAACACATTTTGGATTGAATCTGGTTATGTGCAATCAAAAACCCACCAGTCCAAACACCTTCTTGATGTACTAGATGCATAATTGCATCCAAGCAAAGCATGTTCGTCATCTTCAATCTCTTTGTGGCATCTTGAACAATTGTTATCCCTCGCATCCACATGAATTCCCCTTTTTGTTAGATTTAGCTTTACGGGTAACATGTCCAAAAAAACACTCACCAAGCAAAAAAAACTAATACTTCTAGGCACAAAATTATTCCAAATAGCCTTACGCGAGTTAGAGTCAAGAAATTCTATGATTATCACATAACAATGAATATGCCTTCCTAGTAAAGTATAACCCATTGCTATCAAACTTCCACAACCTTTGGTCATCCTTCCCCTAAATCACCCTAAAACCATCTAATAACTCCAACAACTTTGCTTCCTCCTCACATTCCCTTCCAAACAAATTCCTTTTCCACCCTAGCTTCCAAGACCAAAGACCACCCCTCCAAAGTCCCATTTCACCAACTTTCAGGTTCAAAGGTGTGATCAACCTTTTTAGTCTTGAAATATCGGTCGCCAACAGCCTCAATCCATTATGTCTAAATTCTTTTCTTTAAACAGATTTTATGTTGTAAACACTAAAAAATAGAGCGAATAAATGAGATTGAGTTCTTTATTGATAATGAAGAGGAGAGAGCATACAATGGTTGAGAGAATGAGAAAGGAGAGAAAACAGAAAAGAATCCCTAGGAGAAGAGTGACAATCATTTTTATAGATTGTAAAATAATAAATATATATATATGCTATAAAAGGAATAAAGAATGGACAAGGAAAGGGAGTAAAGGAATGGATCAGATGGGAGAAAGGATAGTTGTTTGAAACTTGCCTTCAAATTTTGAATACAAGTTAGCAATTAACAAACTGCTTGGCCAAAGGATAAGTTTGTTGGTTTATAGACGTGTCCAAAATAATAAATTTGTTCCTTTTGCTATATAAACTCATCTCATTAGTTGTAAACACATACTTGACTTCTTGCTTTCTTGCATCTCATCCTTCTCATATTCAAATTCAAACTTTTACAGAGAAGTTTAGAAGAGAAGTCTTGAGAATTTGCTAGCTAAGATTTTGGGTGTCTTTGTCAGATGTTGAGGTGTTCTTGCCATCAACCCTACAACAAACTCTAGTCGAGTGGGGCAAAATTCACCTTAAAGAGAGTGTATTCAACTAGCTTCAAAGCCACATATTTTAGTTCTTCAATCCACTATCGTTACCAAAAAGTAAAGCCTCCAAGATCTAAGATCCAAGATCACCTTTAGGTCTAAGTTGAGGTATTTATAGTAGAGTATATAGACTTTTCCTAAAATTACATCTCCAAGTTATAAAGAATTAAGTATTCTATTCTTTTTAGGATTCAATCTTGTGATAAGGACTCCTCTTTTCTTAGAGTTTACTCATCTAGTTTTGGTAGAAGTCTTTTAGGATGACTATATGTATCTTAATCCACATAAAACTCAATTTTGGGTATAACATCTTTGAAACCCCAAATTAATTTTCCTTCAGCCTTATTTCATTGATTTTGAGTTTAAAATTCTAATGAAATTTTGGTAGAACCTCAATTAAATTTAAAAAATTTAAAATTTTAAAGAGAAATTTTAAGATGTGCCATTGAGTCAAGAGAAGTTGTGACCACTACCATTCCCCCTATCTAGTGGAGTTATATTGGTGCATTAGATGCTACATAGGACTATTCAATCACCCAACCCCAAGATCATTGAACTTAAGCTCACGCATCTCATGACACTTTGCTATAGACAATGGTGTAACTACCACCTCGATTGGCGATGTGTGACCAGTTCTCTAATTAAGAAGAGTGGAAGGCCTAGAGAGTATTTGGACCAAATGGGAAAATCAGTATGGTCTTCTCTCTAAAACCAATTTTAGCGATTCCTCCACCTCCGATGATTGAATTTCTAATAAGAAAGGATGGAAGTTGAAGTCTCTAATATCGACATAAAAGATAAATCAAGTATGAGTGGAAAGTTTAGGTAAGTGATATAAATGGTCATTTTCATATTGTACTTGAGTTCAAGTGTTGTCTTGGTTTTTTTTTTTTTTTTCATGTGGGTACTTCATAAACTAATTAAGGTTTATTTTTTTCCTGAACATTGGGAATTTTGGGAGAAGGGGAAATTTTCAAGTAGTTGATAGGCGTTAAACTTCCAATCAACTAAACCCAAGCACTAAGGATTGGAGACGAACCAATATTAAGCTGAAAGGGCTGGTTCGATAAACTAATTCAGGTTTAATTGTTAATTCCCTTTAAAATTGAGATAGTTTATGGATTTAAATGAAATTAATTATTTTTTACCAGCCATTTCAAACAAAACTAACGATAGATGTAAGCCAAGTTAGCTGGAGGAACGGACACAGACGGTATCACTAATGTTAAGGGCTAATTTGCTAAAATCATAAGTTTTGGAGCTTATCTCCTTGAAAATTAATTTAAGGGATTAGATAAAAATATGGAAAAAGTTCGGAGTTTTGTCTTATATTATGTGGCTGTCGGAGGTTCGGTGTGGATAAGCAGCCAGAGTCACTTAAAAATTAGGTAGGAAATGGACAAGCAGCCAGAGTCACCGAACAACTAGGTCGGAAATGAATTATTGAGGTTTCTTATCAACTGAAGAAGACTCAATCGGAACCAGTGCTCTGCGCTAATGGTTTTGTCCTTAAATCTTAGTATTTAAGTTCAGTGAATTGAGAATTTAATTTTCACCAACTAGTTGAATTTCCTCTTCCTTCATAATTTCCCATGTAAAAAAAAAAAAAAAAAAAGAAGAAGAAGACTCAGTCGAAGTCAGCTGAAGAAGACAAAGCAAATAATAGAATAGGGACCTCAAGGTGGGACAGCTTTAAAGGCGACTTGCCGGTTGGTAACAACTTCAGAGGTTCATTCCAATGTTTTTATTTTTTTAACACCGAACCAAAAATTAACTCATTTTGATCTTTGGTTTCCAATTTTGCAGATATAACCTGTTTGATTGCTTAAAATTTTTGGTCTGATGGGATGGTAATATAAAATATAAAAAATTTAAAATATATATATAAGTTTCAAAATTAAAATGATTAGAATTATAATTTTAAATAATGTCATTTTATTTAATTAAAATACAATTTAAAATTTAAAAATTTACCATATTAATAAATGTTGATACTTATATTTAAAAATTGATTATATATTTAAATATAATTAGTTTTTAAATCCAGATATCAATACCTGATATGATGAATTTTTAAATTCTAAATTCTAAATTTGATTTTTAGTTTTTAAATGTAGATATTAATTTTTAATAAATAAAATAAATTTTTAAATTTTGAATTGAATTTTGATTAAATTAAATGGCATTATTTAAAGTTAAAATTTTAATTTTTTGAAAATCAAGATTAATATACACTAGTCTCATACCAAATATATAATTTATATAATAAGTATATTTTTATGCATCTTGCATGTTAAAATATGATTTGCTCTGAAAAAAAAGAGGGATGTTTTCTCATATGAAAGAACAGAGTTCAAATTCTGTTGGGGGAAAAGTGTACATCATTCAAAATCATGATATTAATTAATAATATTTATTACAAATAATTTCATCAAAGGTTTCTTTGGGCTTGTGGCAAAAATTTAAGCCCAATGAATTGATTAGGAAATGAGTTCTGGCCCCATTAGTGAATTTTTGTTATTTTAAAACTTTGCCCTAACACCTTGAACCGGCCAGTCAGCCGGTTCACTGCTTTACCAATTTTCCCGGTTCACACTGGCTTTTACTCGGTCAACCATGCAAATGGTTTTACAAATTTGACCAGACCAGATTAGCGATTCGGTAACAGCTCAACTGGTTTAATTGATCGGTCCGGCCCAATTTTTAGAACACTAGCTCATAATGTTCATTTGTTTCAGTAGCTCTCACTAAGTGCAGTGGTTAATTTTTTAGGAAAAATTAGTACACACTCAGTTTAATATATGTTTTGATATTTATCTGATTTAATTATTAAAATATAATATAAAAATGACTTGATTCAATTAATTCTATATCTTGAATCCCATTGAAGTATCTTAAATTTATATGTTTTTAATTTCATATCAAAAAATAATAATTTTTTAAAAAAATATATTATATAATATATTAAACAAAAAGATATACCAATCATTATCTATATTTTAATCTTGAGTAATGATATGCTAATGCATTGCACCTGCAACTTAAGGGTTATTTTTTTTTCTTTTTTATTGTTAAAGTATTCCTGTCCTTATCATCTGGATTTTAGCCCTATAAACACTTGGGTCTCCTCCTTATTTCCGCTGCTGACTTTGCACATAACATTATCTTATAATCCCAGTTCTATCCTTTATCCATAAAAAACATTTAGCATCCGCTTGATATAGCCATTTAAGAATGGTGATTTAGAGATAATGATTAGTAGTTTTACCTAAATTGTCAAAAATACATGTTTAGTTACTTATTTATTTTGAAACTACTATAAATTAGTTGTTTGGTCAAATTTTTTATTTAGTAATTTGGAACTATAGTTTTGTTGAGGATTGAGTAACTCTGATAAAATTTTCCTTAGTTCTTGAAAGACAAAGGGGTTTCACATTTTTTTTTTTTTTGGTAAAAATGAAGGGTTCTATTATTTGTTATAAGTTCTACTGATTTATTAATTTCAAATTTAGAAAGATAATGCAATGAAGTTAATAGTGAATTTAAATCAAAATTTTAATAAGATAAAGTTTGAATTTCAAGTAGATGTCATAATCTAAAAGAGTTTTTATTATATAAGATTCAAATTATATTTAATTATGATTTTTCAATTTTGTTTATTTTGTAGATACAACGATAATTTTAATTTAAGTTTATTTAGTTTTCAATTATTACTTAACAATGAAAAGTAAGAAACTGTTGCCATTCTAATTTAAAGAAAAAAAATTGAAATTTTCAAATAAAATCATAGTTTGAATTAAATTTAAAAAAAGAAAAGATTAAAATCAGCTAATAAATAAAAAAAATGATCTAGACACTAATAAAATTTTAATTATTTTTAATTTTTGAGTCTTAATGCATTTTACATGATAAAAGAATTTAATAAGGTATAAGTTTTATTTTTTTTTTATTAACCTCTTGGTATCCAGAAACTTAATTGGATACAACTAATTCAGGGACTCATACCTTTTGTGTTCAAACTATGATTTTAATATAAGTTTATGTATTTCATGATTTTCATCTATAAAAACTAACCTGTTGTGGTCTCATTATCTTTGTGTCAGGATCATCCAGAGACTCTCTCCAGTGTGCTAGGTACCCAACCATTCGAGGAATTGTAAATAAAACAGTGAAATACTCCAGTAGAAATCCCGTTGCACTACAACAGAAAATTTAGGATTTTGTCATCAGTTTCATGCTTCCTCTTAATAAAGTACTCATCAGATAATCACAAAAAATAAAATGATGATCAAAACTTTCACTTTCTACCCAGTACCCAGAATAAATAAATAAGCATATAATGAGAAAGTCAATTTGGGAAATAGATTTCATTCATAGGAAGAAAGCTTATCACATCAACTCTAACATGTTGTATTCCCTTTTGGCACTGGACTACTTACTGAGGAGGTAGGCCACTTCTAAGAAGGTACTGCTCTCGGCCAACTCCTCAATTGGGTAGCCTCAGTATCGAAGGATCACCTGATCCCCGTCAATATAGGAAATTGATGAGCGTACAGGAGCTGTGTTCAAATAACCCGGGTCATACACCTTGACAACCTTGTCATCCTTCCCGGTCGTTATCTGTAAAAACAAAATTCAACCCAAAATGCCCAGAATTGGAATATATATAAATTCAGATCAAAGAAATTAAAAGGGAGGGTAAAAATACAGACCTTCTTCAAATCAACCGCTTTAACGGTACCTTCTGCGGAGACGGGGACCTGGTACTTCTTCCCAGTGCGTTCGTCGATGATGGTCAAGGAACCGCCAAGGGAGGCGGCCGTCTGACCGGCGACGCACCATGGCTCAATGATCTTCGGAGAAGAGACGTCGGAGGATGGCGGTGCTGCTAGATGAGCCGCGAGTATGGCCAAACGGCCCTTCACCTTAACGCCGACCTCACCGTTTGACATTCTTAGAATGGATTTGGATGGAAATGAAAACAAAGTTTGTTTTCGCTTCTCTTCTGAGTTATTGATATATGGCTTTGCTTCTGGGATTTTCCTTCCGTCTTTCAGATTAGATTGTCTTTATAATCAGAAATGTTGACTTAAATTACCAAAATACCTTTAATAAAACCCTTCTCAATGTTAATTCATCAATAATGTTTTGGTAATTTTAATATTTACACAAATCCATTTTTTTTTTCATGATATATATCTTCCTTTCCATATCACATGATGTTTTGAGATTGCCTTGGCACTGGGATGTTTGTGGCATGATTTGGTTCAGGTTTTAATATTTTATAAATTAATTTAATTTAATTAGTTAATAAAATTTTTAAATTAATTTAATTTATTATTATATTATAATTAAACCAATTCAATTTAAATTCAATTGATGTGGTTCAATCGGATTGATCGATTTTTAACATTATTAAATATATGAGATAATATAAAAAATTTTAACATTAAGTACAAACATAATTATAAAATAAATTAATATCTAAATCATTAGAAATATAATAAAATGCACAAATTATAAATAAGTTCTTATACTCATTAACAATTATAAAGATTGAAAATATCAGAAAATTCTTTTTGGTTATATCACTAGAGACACTAAGGATAATAAAAGATGATTCTAAATTTTAAATATAGTGCAAGTAATTTTTAAATATTAAAACTAGTTTTTTTTTTCTTAACGCACCAAATGATTCAATTACATCTTCCAAACCTTATTAAAAGCAAATAAAATTTAACATAAATGTCATTAGGAATGATTAGAAACATTCATAATTAAAATTTAAAACTTCTCAACTAAACATCCAAGGACAGTAGAATATCCAAATTAGTTCTATTATATAGTTTTAAAACTTCTAGTATGATATTTCTTAAAATCTAGTTATGAGAATCAGAATATTATTTTAAAAACAAATTAAAAATTTAGGGTTTTAAAAGTTGAGTCATAAATCAATTCTAAGAGATAGAGCTGCAAGTGAATTGAAAATTTAGAATTAAGATCAGAGTGCACTGGGTTTTGTGTTGTTTGTGTTAATGCACTGGGGGCTTAATTCTCGTCACGGGCTGTGTGTCGACACTTTGAGAGGGTGTCGACACTTTAAATGTAGGCCTCTCAATCAGTTTTGTTAAGGGTTTGGGGTACCCCTTATCCTCCGTTTTATTAATATATATATTC